TATTTAGTGAGAAATGACCAGTAGAGCTTCATGAGATGCGTAGGAAGCACACTGATGACTGCAGCTCAGACAAGTGCAGGTATCATGCTCTGCATCAGTTACGATCTAGGATATGTATTTCACAACTTAATTGTCTTTGGCTCTTAAAAATTAAATTTTGCACAGCATGAAATGTAAAACTATACCAGCAAAAGTGTTTCTTGAAGTTCTAAACAATATTTAAAAGTAATTCAATAAAAAAGCATTTAAGGGGAGCAAGAGGCAAATAGGATAGGAGCCTTAACAATATTAACAGGTTTGTACAAACAGCCACATCCACCCAAAAGCATAATCAAATAAAGTGATAGTTATGTTACAGTCATCAACACAGAAAGTCTCTCTGCGTGCTAAGCCTTTGTACTTATGATGCAAACCTCTGCTCCAGATGTAAAAATCTGGGTCCCCTTTCCTGTTCTGTACCTGGCTGCCACTTGCGTACGATTTATTTTCTGTCCACGTGCAATGTAGCAGATGAGCAAGGAGAAACCTAAAATCTAATTTGTGCTTCATTAACCGTACTCACTCCTGCAAGGTTAGTTTCTTTTGTAACTTGCATTATTCATCAAAAATGTTTGCAAGACTTTGCATTAAATGCATTTGAAAATAGACATTCAGATGTTAGATAGCAAAGGCAGACGAAGTGCAATCAAGACATTTGTCTTTATGACAGTATCTCGCCAATCTAAACCTGAACAATGCCACCCCAAACATCTTTCTTGATACTCTTCGGTATTAAAATAAGGCCCTCATGGTCCACCTCACACCACTTAACTGGCAGGAGTATGAATTACTGTAGCAGGTGGGCTAATGTGGTTTTAAAAGCAATGTAATACAATCAACTGTACAATATCAGATTTCAAGGAACGCAAAAGACATCTAGAGCAGAGGCTGATCCTTAAGCAATCCTAATATTGGCATTAAAGTGTTCAAGATCCCACAGGGACCATTTTATCTTTTGACCCCAGGCTTTAATTGAAACTTTAAACAAAATATATTACCTATTTAATGCAGCTGAGCTGGACTCTGGCCTTTGTAGTACATGTTGCCATGCCAAGCAAATTAATCTGTGTAACCTTAGCACGTACTTTTTAATTTACATCAAAGAAATACAACATAGAGAAAATAAATACCAAGCCAACCCTATGGAGCTTGTTGAATAACTATTTTGATTCTAGTTTTAGAGTTTTAATTTTTAGCTGTTTTGGGTTCTTCTAAGAAAAAAAAAAAATTAAAAGATTTTACTTCTTGGTACAAAGCCAGAGAAACATATGGTTTCTTTAGCTGAGTTGTTGCACACCTGGCAAAATAAATCACAGCAACAGGAGACCAAAACCTACCCTGCAACTTTTCATATGCACAAACTTAGAACATGTGATGCTGGTATTCTGTCCCTGCCTTTTGTACCACGAATAAACGCAAAGTCAAACGGATGGCTTGCTTCTTGAGCCCCAATACTTCTTTTTCCTTCAAGAGGCAAGTTGCTTAGAGTTTTAAAGGATGAGCGTCAGCCGCACAGGCTGGCACACTGCAGGAATGAGTCAGTGGGCCTGTCAGAGTGAAAGGCCAATAGAAGCAAGCACAGGAAAAGAAGTGTAACACAAACAGGGAAAGCAGGTGGTCCAAAGGCTTAACACTGCTGGAGTGTTAATGCTACCGCACTCGGAGTGCTGGAGTTCAAACCCTAATTCAGTTTAAACAGTTCGTCTCCTGTTTATTCTCTTTCAAGTATGTTATGTACACCATATAAGGAAAAAAAGCCTCCACAAAATCTTCAATGACACGATTGAATAGTTATTAAAAATTAGAGGAAGCACTGTTTTCTCACATCACATGTCAGTATGTGGCAATATGCGTGCCACTGAACAAGCGGAGCGATTGCCAGAGACGCAGAATACATTAATCACAGTAACAACTGCAGCAGGTAATCCTCAAATTGTAACTATTCTTGGATTTCACGATAAGCTGCGAAGACTTTTTCCACACATAGACAGACAGGGAAGGACCACTCCTTCCCGAGCAGACGGGGAGCACCCCCCAGTTTCTCCCCCTTCCTCCCCAGCAATGAGCATACGGTGAGTGGGCACAGCTCAGAGTCAGGTTCATGCAGTTCCAAGCACACGAGACAGGACTGGCCTATTTCAGCTCCTCTAGTCTCCCTTTTAAAGGCAAGAAGCAGGCAGACAAGTTTATGTAATGCTGTTTATCAAAGAAAGTGTTATAGCGAATGTGTTTATAATTTTATCTCGAACATCAAAACAGAAATAAACAATCCAGTCAGCCTTCTGATGCCCAATGACACGGTATGAGCTGCAGAGCGGATGCACTGCTGATAATGGATGCAGTTGCCTTGTTCTCCTGTCACACCCGATGCGAAGAGATGACTGAGTAGGTGTTTAGGATTTCTCTCGCCCAACTTGAGCTAGGAAGTCTAAGCTAGTCAGCTCCTTTTACAGAAGTATGCCTGCAGGGGATTATTTGTATAATCTAAAATAAATGTCTAAGTGAGATGGGCTTAATTACTTCCCAGAGGTATTTTTTTCTTTCCACACTATAAAGTGAGTATAGCTACCTAGCTTTGTCTTGTCTTCTAACCTTTGCACTATCACAGGTAGGAGAGACCAGCCTAACCACAGTCATGTAGACACATCCAGGACAGCTTTAAACAAATCAGTCCGAGTCCTGCTGTTGATACAGCTGCACTGCGTTGAACTCAAGTCCCTGCCTGACTCTTTACGTAGCCTCTTGGATTGCCTTTGCAGCATAGCCAACAGGCCACATCTCAGCAAGTAGTGTGAACTAAGTTCTGGTTTCCCTGCAACAGCTGCCATCACAACAGCAGCTACAATTATGCTACGTTACTGATAAGTTGTACTTTACAGAGCTCCACAATAGACTGCTGCTCTTTGCAATAGGCTGAAAGGGGCTAAGGTAAGCCCCGTTGACCCTAACTTGTTACGTCGCTAGGACATTTGTGAAGTGCCAGCGGCTGCCTAAAGGAAACAGAGGGCAGAGTAAGGTGGTGGGAGGAAGTGTAGCAGCAGCCAAGCCCAGGCAAAGGACTGAGCTGGTCTTTGTGTTCACTATTGCTTTGTGAGTTAATAAATGCAAATCCCAGGAACAGAGTTAACTTGGATGTTGCGAACTGTGCTCATAAAAGAAGCTGAGAAAACCTTCTGAACCTAAAAAAGTCACCAATGGGCGAGAAAGTAAAAAACTAAAGAATCTTATAGGTCATAGCGGTTTTAAAGGGAGCATCTGTTCATGAGAAAAGGAACAGGGTGGCACAGACCTGCTTTGTAATGGAGCAACCATCACACTAGAAACAGCATTGGTTTACTTTTTGCAATTTCTGTACTTCTGAGGAGCACTTTTATCAGAATTATGAAATATATATTTGCACTAAAGAGGGCAGCCAAACTTCAGATGATCTGCTGGAGCACTGCAGTACTTCAGCAGTCACTGCTAGTAAGCAGAGGTTTAATTCACACAGTGGTGACTGTTGATAACCCCATCAAACTTATCAGCAAATGCTGATAAATAAAACTGATAAAACAATAGTTCCACTAGGACTATGAACAAAAGCACATGCAACAATCACCTTGTGAGTTTTAGGGATTTTAGCCATTTGAATTAATCTGATAAAGCTCAGCATTCTGGGAGAAGTAACCCTCCATTAAACTGTAGAAGTGTTAAGGAAGTGTTTATACTATTATTGACATTAGATACGTTGTCACTGTGACATAAGACGTACTTACTTTAGCATTTACAGAGCTTTGCAAACATGTAGCATCAGTTACAACTACAATTTTAGAAAAAATTTTTCCTATGCCCTAGTAGTTGTAAGAAGCTAATAAAAGATGCCTTTTCTGAATAAGTAGAGTGTGTGGTGCCTCTTTTCAACAACTTTGTCAAACCAATTGGTATCAACCAATACATTCTCTTGTATATTAGGCATTGGGGGGAACCACAAAACCCCACATGCTTCCTGTTGATCCTAATTGTTTCTATACATATTTTAAATCTACTTTGAATTACTTTAAAGTAAAGCACCTTACACCCTTTTCTGTCTCAACAGGAGCTCACAGAGTCTACTGGGCCAGACACTGAGGTTGCTTAGCAGAAACACATGTCCTTTCAGAGAGAATTCCACTTAAAAGCACCTCTGGAACAATGAAGAACCTGCTCTCTTGTTTACAGATCTGAATACTATAAATAATAATTCATATTATCTTCTTCCTTTTATCTGTTTAATGTATCCCATATAAAGATGTGATAAAAAATATGAGGAGCTGAAGCTGAAGTTTAAAAACAAAAAAATCACCTTACAGCTAAATTAATGTTTCTTGCAGTACTCAAGGGACTCTGTTAAAATTGTGAAGGACAGATAGCTGGTCCTGAAAGAAGAATTCTCTCATTGTAGATGTCTAACTAACAGTACCTCAGATGGGAAATTTTTGGTACAACCTAAAAGAAAATCCAACTATGTCCGTGGGCCTGTTTGGATAACTTGTTCATTTACAAGGAAAGTTAACATCCAATACCTACACTAAATTTTATGTTATAATCAGACTCTATTTTCTATGAAGTTTCAAAGATGACTAAATGAGAGATTTAAAAAAGAAAAAAAAGGTATGAATTGCACGTGATGTCTCCAAGATAGTGGATGAGACGTTCTGGAGGCAGAGAAAAAGACTCATCCATGCATTCTAAATGTAAAAGTGCTGAATGGACACTCTTAAAGGTATCCAGTATCTAAAAGTCTCATCATTTGCTATGCCTTATCCCGCACTGCAGCTGCTGGCATTTAAGCTCTGAACCTGGTTTGGTTCGTAACTACTGAAGGCAATTATTTTTGTTGTTATTAGCTAATTCATTTGAGCACCAGTTGCCTGGCTAAGCTCTTTTGTTTCACCCTGCCTGACTCCTCAAATATCTCTCTGAAGCATTAACAATGTACTTACCCATCATGTTGTATAAGCTCTGTGGTGCAAACTGCCTTGGCATTTTCTGTATTGCTTCTTTGTAAACCATAAGGGCATCCTGAAAAGAGACACACAAGTGGGACAAAACATTAGTAAAGCACCATATTTCAAAAGCAGTCTTTCACATATAAAGTAAAACCAAACTATCTTCCTTCTCCAAATGAAGTTTGCAGAGAGAGAGAGAAAACACATCAGCAGTATAAATATCATAGAAAGTTCAAATTTCTCATTTACAAAAGTTTCATGAAGCTTATGACAAGAGATCAAATTAGTTTCAATATCGTAACCCCTTTCCTAGCAGAATAAAAGGAACATTTTTTTTAAACCCTTCAATCACTCATGAGTTTATAAACATATACAAAATTATATAGGCTGACAGAGACTATGGAATAATATCAAACGTCAGACAAAGGACTTTCTGATGACTAAGTTACAGTAAGTGACCTAAAAATAAAGAAACCATTGTCTACTGCCAAGTAATAACAAAATATAATCCTCACAACTGAAGTCTGCTCCACACAAAGAATGAGATGGACTGTAGTGTCAAGAATGCCAAAATTGGATTTCCTTCGCAAATGTGCTGTGCCTTGAATTACTCGATCACACATTTATGATTCATTCCGCACTTAGGATGCCTACTGGTCAGTCCGCTAGCTCTGCATCATTTTCTACATCATCCCATCAAACAGTCACAGCTTGTGAAGGCTGAAATACGCTTGAAAAAAATCTAAGTGTATGATCAAATCATGGCTGGATCAGACTGCAATGACCACCAGGCAGAAATCTGATGGCTTATATTCTTAAAATCCCTTGCACCTCCTAGGCATTGAACTCCAACTCTACACTCTATCGGCCATGCAGACAACATACTGCTATTCTCTTATCTTTATGGATGTATTAACTGTGTTTTAACCAATTAGTGACTGCCATCTGACAGAGCTGGATTCAGCAGACAAATGACAGAATCCATAGAGCTAGTGCATGCCTAATCTTAAACAGCTGAGGTAACTGTCGTGGTCAAGAAGAGTTACATAGATCAAAACCACGCGTAACCCCTGTTCTGAAGTATGCCTGGCAATGCAAAGAGAGAATGACTTTCTTTCAAATACTGCTGAAGGTCAAAACTCAAGTGAATGTCCAGTTTTAGTAATTTTTTCAGGGAGAATGGCGGGGAATCACAACAATCACATTATCACAGGTAGATGTGATGGGATATCTTGGGTGCAGCATACAGTACATTAAAAATATCCAATCCACTTCAGCACTTAGGTCAAGTTATCTGAAAATAGCACACAGTGGGATGTTTTTAATCACTGAAGTTTTGAATTGTTCCAACTAGGTCTTGTTTTTGGAGACTCAAAAGCAAACAAAATTGCATTTCTTTCAACTAAAGACAGACTTACTCTATTTTGAATTAAAAAGCCAGTACACTTTGGGTCATCTGGTCTGTAACCAGGCTATATCCTTTGCACACCAGCCATGGGGGCAAAGGCAAAAAGAATGAATTAACACATACCAGATGTGACCACAGTTAATATTGACTCTGACATCAGAACATCACACTACTAATTAACATTGTCACACCTGTGGCTGTAGAGAACAAATATTCTCTTTAAAGAATGCTAATCTCCACTTGGTAAAATTCAATCAATTTGTGCCTGTGATGTATTTTGAAAGTCTGGCTAGAAGCAATAGGTATTTCTTATGTATGAAGCTTTTTATCATGATATTGTAGACAAATCCAGAGTCTTACCTCATAGTGTCCTTGTTCATGAAAAAGCTTTCCTAAGTTATAAAGACAGCTAGTAACAGAGCTTTTATGAGCATGAGGATCTTTCAAATTTTCATCAGGGATCTCTGAACACTTCAGGAAAGTCCTCCTGGCTTCCTCTGTCTTGCCTTGGTTCATCAGGATGATACCAGTATTTAAATAGGCAGCTGCAAAGAGGGAAAACAATGTTATCTTTTAATGAGGTTCCACTACATTTTATCTGATATTTGTTTTACTTCAAAGTAGTATCTGAAAGAGATCTCATGGTTATCTAATTTGGCTTTTGTATAATATAGATCAATCACTGGTATAAAAAGGAACATATAAGAGGTAAAAGTTCAGATGAAAAAGACTGATGAAGGAGGGAAAGCAACACTGGTTAGGCAGAGTGCTCCATTTTGTTCCTCTTATTAGGACTGTATCAAGCATATAGTGTCATTGTTTGAAATGTTACAAAAATATATACATATATTTATACGTATCTACATGTATGTGTATATAGACATATATAGAAAATTTAATACTGAAGGTACAAAAAAGTCAGCAATCCTAAAAAGCACCCACTTAATTTTGCAACCAATCACTGGCAACATCCTCTGGATTATTTCCCATTTGCCCTAGGCAAGAAAGGAAAAATGAAAGGACTTCAAAAATATTTGTATTATCCATTCACACTACATATCATAAAAATTAGGGACTGGCTGTGAGAAACAGAAAACAGGAGCCTGAAAATTTGGGCATCTATGGCTTACCACCCCAGATCAGAAGCATTCTAGGTTCTAGCAGTGCTGCCCAGTGTTAACTCATTATCTGCTTCTTCTCTGCATCACATTAAATGTAGTTGTTGACTAATAAACACTTAATTTCAACCAAAAAGTACACAATTTCACCTTTTGCTTTCCGAATGAAAAACTTTGGAAAATAAAGAAAGGCTTATCAAAGAGTAGGAAAATTTCCTTTAAAAACTACAGTCAATATTATGCAAGCTTGCAGAGCTGAAATACTTACAAGCTAGTGTGGGTCTGCTACCAATTGCCAGTTTATAGTAATGCAATGCCTCCGAAAACCTGCTGTTTTCCTGAAGTAGTAATCCTCTGCACAAGGACAAAAAAAACAAAAACAAAACAAAACAAAAAAATCACAGAGAGGGAGGTTACTGCAAAGAATAACTTCAAAACATCAAAACAAATATTGCAAACAAAATGAAGGTAACAAAGAAAAACATGCTGACTGGTATTTCAGAGCTATAACAACTCTGCATGTTACTAACAATTCAGTGGGAAAACTATTTTGTGTGAAAACAGGATTAATTCATAGACACCAGGTGTATCCGTATGGTTTTAACAGAGCAGATGTTAAACGCAGTATTTTTGGCTTGCTTGGAAACCAGGAGATTCATTTACTCGGTTGAGAAAATGGTAGGCTGTGAGACCTTTTAAAGCGGAGGGAATACGGTGGAGGTATTTGTAACTCAGTCAGTCATGTTTAGCCTGTCATCTTTTCTTGACTGGACATAAGCAGATCTTTTTCAAACACACAATAAAGTTAATCACCTAATACTTCACATGCATTACTTTAACCAGTTGCCTTGTCGAGTAATTTCACTAGATTATCCACTGTATGGCTAAGCACCTGCATCAGTTCTATTTTTTCCTGTCTTCTTTCTGCTTTGAACAAATTTGAACTGAGGAGGAATCAAAACCAATACCGAATACATCCAGTTCTCAGTTAGTTTCATAATCCAATGGCTTTAATTAAAACTTCTAAGACAAGCATCCTCGTGAATTACAATTTACACCAGCCATTCACAAATTTCTGAGAAATAAGTGGTCTGGACATCTTGACATGAATTCACAATTGTATGCATGAATGAAGGCTCAAAGCATTACAGTGTTCCCAAAGTTTTAGAAGACTGAAAAAAGCATATGCAAATATATTAAAATCACAAGGATTTAAAAATCCTTAAAAATTAGTCATTTCAGAATGGAGACTCAGATCTTATTATCCAGGGGTAGATGTCCCTCTTCATATACCTCAAAATACCCAGGAAAAAATAAACATAGCTATTTCTTTTAGGTGGGAGGGTTATCATATCTATTTGTAGTTTCCCTAACCTACAGCAATTTTCTCTTCTTCCTCTATGCTTTTATCTGCTGATAGCTTTTCAAACTGCCAAGAGCTTGAACTTTTTCCATCTCCAGTCTCTAATCAGAAAAGATTTTTGTCCCTCCAAAGTCTCAGGAAAACTTCTTGAATTAAACCAGTAGACTTTGGGGGAAGAAAAGAGTAGGGCAATTAGCTAAAGAAGTAACCACTGTCTATGTTGTTTGCTTCCTATCACTGGGTTAGGATTTAACAGAATGGAGGAATATATCCTCTTTTTTTTCCACACTATCTATCAGCACATGCGGCCTCGCTTTTGAAACTGTCTCCCAACTAACTTCAGATTAGGTAGTAAATCACTTCTAATATTTACAGACTTACATTCAGTTGGTACTTGCAGTAATGATGTGAGCAATGAGGGAATAACATTCAGGACACTTTCTGGCATGGCACCAAGGTTTTTAACTACTGTCAAGTGTCTTGCAGGTGGCTATAGGTATGATCATCAGGATGGTAATAACATTTTCTAAATTTTCTAGAAGTTGAATTTTGTTTACTCTAAAAATTTTTATAGACTGTAATTACTCCAAGGAAAATTATTATTATGGTATTTTGATCCAATTTTCTATTGATAGTAGCAGAATTAACATAAGAATAAATGAGTTGCATGGTCTGACATTTAAGCTGCTTCTTACCTTTTAAAAACCAAAAAAACATTCTTACATACAATTTTGCGACAAATTTATTGAAGAAATTCCATTCTTATTTTAGTTCTGGAATGAATAATTTCACATCTCAAGAGAAGTAATACAGTAACTGGTCAACTTGAACAAAACAAATTACTTTGGTAAGTGTACGACATTTGTTCTTTTTGGATTAAAAGAACTTCTATTTGTAATTATTACCAAATTAATCTTCTGTGTTCACTACATGGTCTAGTACTGGCATTCTTCATTAATTACTTGATACTTTAAGGTGGATTGTGGGGGTTTTTTTCCTACTCCTCTTCCAGAAGACTTTTTTTCTTTTAAAAGTTGTTCCACTGATAGTATCTCTGCCCCCTCACCCCTCTCCTTCTCCCTCCCTCTCCCCCTCCCCATTCCTCCACCCTCCCTTGTTATGAGGTTTGGTAGAAGAAAAAGAAGGAAAAAAAGGATATAATCTAAAAATCCTTGACATTGGTCCTGATTGATCACTGGTTTTCCCTGTGGCTTCTGACAGTACAAAAATGACTAGATTTATAAGTGTCTAGTTCTAGTTTCAGATTAAACAAAGTCAGGAAAAGGCTTAAAGGAAAATTAAAAAATAATATTTTTAGTTCAATAAAACTAACACTTAGGGGAGTATGCTTCTGAGAGATAACTGGCTTGGATGTTCACCTATGAAGGGATAAATTGTTATTTAAATATATAAAAAGTTAAGATGATGAATGCTGCATTAAACTTGCAAAGCATTTCTGAATTTACAGTGAATATTAGAAAAGTTTAAAGAACAGTTATATTTCACTTCCAACATAAGAAAATGAGATCTTCTCTAGCTTTAAGCTCATACAAAATGTATAAATATGCTCACCAACCTCTATCTAATTACTCACAAAACACAACTAAAACTAAAACCAAACATTTCAAATGTAGTTACTGCCAAAATGAATACTGCCTGTGAAACATCCTACTTCTCTTTTTAAAGTATGCATTATAATCCCAGTCCCTAATGACATTACTGCTCACTAATACTTCCACAGGTCTACTGTCTCATTCACCACACAGAAGGAATATAAATGAGCAATAGTTCAATATTTGCTTCTGTCTCCAATTTCTACAAGTAAAACACCACCGTCTTCTTATAAATATTTGCCTTTTGAGCAAAATACAAAATAAGCCCCCAGATCAAATGACAAACTACCGTTTATTTCAAAATTAGTTCAAGAAAATCTGAAAGTCCTCAGGTCCCATCATCTACTTTCCATTGCTGCATTTCACAGCATCTAAGCCATTTCCAAGACAAAAATCAACGCTGATTTTCAGCTAGGCATTACACCTGAGAGGCAGACCCGAGGTTCTGAGGAACAACGCAGTTCAGCCTTGATACCACATTGCTAAATCAGTGGCCCTGATCAACAGAGACAGCAGGGCCGGTGAAGGAAAAGCAGCCCAAAGGAAGAGCCCTGGGAGTGGAGCAAGGATCTCATTCTCAAGGCTCTTTGCCAGTCGCTCCAGCCACGCTGAGTTCAGGCAGCAAGTCCTTGGGTTGCTTCTGAAAGCAGCTGGCCCTGAAAATTTTTCCCCGTTGTCAAGACCAACACGAAGCAAGGAGATGGGCTCAAGGGAGGAATATCTGAAGGGAGCATGTCCTTCACTACATGACTGCAAAGAGATCATTAGAGCAGATACTACCAAAAGGGTCTGTTCAGCACTTGAAGTTCTCTTCACAGAAGCTGAGAGGTTGAACGCAATTACCTTTGCAGTCTGTTAAGTTATATTAACAATTCTTCAAGAAGCTTCAACTGGAAGTTTAGCTATATATTCTTTCCTTCTCCTTCAGAAATCGGTGAAGTATGGGTTATTTCGCCACCTAAACGCTTCCTTTTTCGCTGGAGTTGACTTTGGAGTCTCTCTCACTTCAGAATGGAGGTCACAGCCATGAAAACAAAGTCAGATATGCCTCCTATGTCTTATTTTCATATGTTTTAGCATTTACTATCTTCTAGCTAGAGCATTTTCATCAAAGATACTCAAAATTGCCTTAAAACTGAAGTGTCTTTATAAAGATACATAAAGGGCAAAATTTGAAATAAAACTTTTCTATGCCAATTCAACTAAAGAATTGCAAAATGTCCTTCAAGCAAACTGGCCATGGTTGAACAGAAAGAAGTTGTGGTGTCATAAACTGGGAACTGATAGCTACATAATTACCATAGTAAGCTAAGCCTGCAAGAAATGAGCTGACTCACTACAGAACAGAGGAGCATCGAGACAGGCAGATGAAGTGAGACCCACAGGCTGTAACAATGAAAGTCTGTGACCTCCTTGAAGTTCTTGGCATCTGTTTGTTCAGCCCCATTTTGATAATCCCAATTCCTTCCTTCCTTCCTTCCTTGGAGAACTCATTATCCTGCAGCTGATTGTCAGGGTTGAAGTCAGAAACTGGCAATGGCAGATGGAGTCTGTGCTTCTTTGTCCACTGGCTCTCAAAACTCTTAGACAAAAATTAGTTCCTTTCCACTCACTTGGACAGGAATGATAACAGATTAACGGTCTGTAAGGCAACTCTTTCTAAAAAAGAAGGAGTTTTTTGTGTGTGGGGAAAAAAAAAAAGACTAATTGTTTAGCCAAAACTTCTCAATTTGGCTAGTACATTTATCTAATTGCACAATCAAACCATGTAAAGGTTGTTCGTGCTAACTCTTTCCAAAAAAGAAGGAGTTCTTTGTGTGTGGGGAAAAAAAAAAAAGACTAATTGTTTAGCCCAAACTTCTCAATTTGGCTAGTACATTTATCTAATTGCACAATCAAACCATGTAAAGGTTGTTCGTGCTTATTACTATGTTTTATTACACTGAAGACATCTTAGAAAAGTTCAGAGTGCATTTGTAGAGCTCAACAAATATATAGTTCTACTCCATCTCCTTTCAAAGGAGACAGTTGATTTTCATCTCATATTGCCACTTCCTTTGTCTGTAGTAAATACAGGGGGAGGAAAAAAAAGTTTGCTCTGAATGACTGATTTCTAGATGCAGAGGAAGACCATCCCTCAGCTGGAGTTCACACCTTGCGGGCACTGCCGAGTCTCCAGTAGCTCACCCCTCCCGGTGGCCAGGGCAGATGGCTACGGAAGGGACTTCTTCCTACAGTCAGGAGTGGACCTGCTCTTGACATGCCTTTCTTCTTCTTTGTTTACACTTCAAAATGATAACTGCTCTTTGGGGATTGCTGGCAGAGGGGAGGAGGAGCGGACAGAAAGAACACAAAGCAGTGATGCAGTGCAAAGCACT